AAAAAAAAAAAAGAAGAAATTAAATTCTTAGTTGTGTAAAAGTTTAAAGGATCAGTCAGATTGTTTGCTTTGCAAAATTTCCTATACTTAACAGAAAATAATGTACTAATTTTCTTAGACTTTCATTTTCAGAGTCTCAAGTTGTTGTTTGGAAATTGTATTTGTTTAATTATGCTCTGTATTATCAGTTCCAAAGAAGCGCTTTGGTTAAAGAAAGAATCCTATGCATAACCTCTCAAGGATCAGGCTGTGCCATAACCCATTCTCATCTGTGCGCAGCATCGAGGACAGTGTATTGCCCAGTGCTGTGCTCTGCAGCTTTGGATGGGCTTACCCAGAAAGCAGCTTCTATGTCAGAAGCAGACATTCATAAGGGAGTTTAAGGATTGTATAGATATCCTTAATTCATGTCATTTTCAAGTGAATTAGTGTTTCAATCCTTTCTAGTTAGGTAATACTAATAATTTCTAGTATGGTGTCATGTAATAAAAATAGTTTTTCAACTATCTAGATTTATTAAAGAGTTACACTAAAAAATATCTACAGTTATTTATGACATGCTTTTTCTTTTCTTTCTGGTTATGAAGGCTTGGAACCTGGCAAACAGATTAAACTGGATTCCAGTGCGCAGTTTGGATATTATTTTCGTGTAACCTGTAAGGAAGAAAAAGTCCTTCGTAACAATAAAAACTTTAGTACGGTAGACATCCAGAAGAACGGTGTTAAATTTACCAACAGGTTAGCAAGTCTGTGTTTTAAGCCTTCGGTTAGTCCATGGATTCTCTGATGTAATGTAAGGGAGTGTGTCATAAGGGAGTTTACCTTATTAATTATTCATTAATACAGGCATCAGGTAAAATACAAGCTTTCTTTTCGTCCAAGTAGCTAGTCGGGTGTCTCAGCATCATTTGTTAAATAATCCATTTTTCCACATTGACTGAAGAGGTCCTTTGGGTCTGTTTCAAAGACAGCTCTTCCCCTTTGTCTCACCATTCTTTTCATCAATACAAAATAAACTGTGTTATTTACATCATGTTTCCATATCTAGTAAACCGGTAGCTCGTTTCACTTCATGTCTCTGCTTTGGTTTTGTTCATGTGTTTAGTTTTTTAAAGAAATCTGTCATTGATCAAGTCAAAGAATTATTTTACCAGCCTCAATAAGGAGTTTCCCTAGGTTATAACTTTTAAAAGTCATATTAACAGGCAAAGAAAGATTATTAAGAAATTTTCTGTAGATTATGAGAAGGCATTTATTCTTTCTCCTTCTGTATTAGTCTAAAACCTGTGGCCTTCCTTACTCCCACTCATCCTAAATATTCCCAGGATTTTATAGGCAGCTTACATATATGCGTATATATAAACATATATATGTACACATATACAGACACACACGTATGATCCTCTTTATTCCATGTATTTAACAAGTATTTTGCATGTCTGTTACATTCCGACATTATTCTATGTGCTTAGCCACCCCAATAAAGAAAACAGTCTTTTAGTTTGTTACTTGTAACAACTTTCTAAAGTAAACAGGACAGGTGTATTTCTCTGATTTTACAGACAGAAGCTGAGGCTTCAGTCCTCCTGAGTTTAAGAGCTAGTAGCAATGGATGCTCAGACCTAGATGTTCTGTTGCCAAATCTAGTTGTGTTGTTTTCTCAGCACACTATATTCTCCTGGTTCAAGAAATGTATATATTTAAGCTTAGATAAGACAACTTTTGGGGTGTTGAAATCATCTTCAAAATGCCCATGGGAGGCCAGGTGTGGTGTCTCATGCCTGTAATCTCTGAGAGGCAGAGGCAGGTGAATCCTCTGAGCTCAGGAATTCTAGACCAACCTGAGAAAGAGTGAAATCCCATCTCTATTAAAAATAGAAAAACTAGCTGGGCATTGTGATGGGCCCCTATAGTCCCAGCTACTCTGGAGGCTGAGGCAAGAGGTTGGCTTTAAGCCCAAGAGTTTGAGATTGCTGTGAGTTACGACAATTCCACAGCATTCTTCATAGGGCAACTGAGTGAGACTCTGTCTCAAAAACAAAACAAAACCAAGCAAAAAACACTCCATGGGCATATATAAAAGAGATTAGACTAAATGGCCACATAGTTTCAAAAGTGAAGAATTCATTCATAGATTGTGACCTCCACCTTTGCTTTGGGGTTTTACAGCTCTTGTCCTTTCACATACTGACTGAGATCACTTTTATTTATATCTTTGTCTCTTGTTTTTCCTTAATTCTTCCCACTTCTTGTTTTATGCAGACTTTTTGTGTTACTACTTGCCTGTGTACTATTCTTGAGCTATCCATGTCTGCTGTGCCATTGACTGGTTTCAGGTTCCCAGTTGCCTTGGTGAACTGATTTCCTCCCACTTCTAACAATTAGTTCTCCTTCTTTCCTTTCTCCTCTATGTCCTATCTTTTTATTCTTAATTTCATTTCCTTCTTTGATGCCAAGGAATATTTTTTCCTCAT